TCTGAAAATTCAAGAAACTTCAAGAAGCCCAGTCACTTTCTCTCCAAGCTCCTCAGACTACCATGTCCTGGATGCCTGAGAACCTGCTTGAACATACTTCAGATTCCTTCACTTCATAGCCTTCTTCCACTTCTGCAGGTGGCTGATGTGCTTTTTCAGAGAAAGGGTAGCATGTGCTCTAAATATTGACAATATTTTCTATATCTTCTAACCCTGGATCTTCCTGAACATTGATTCTTCCTCATGATACTAGAGGACAATATGTGTTTTGTTCTACTGGTCATTTCTTTCCACGACATGGTAAAAAAAAAATTAGCACACAAGCCTCGAGCGCAATGGAGGCCTGTGAGCTACTTTCTGTGTATGCATTATTGTGGGGTCTACCTTACAATATGAAGCACCTTGATGTGACTGTTGTTGTGATTTGATGCTTATAAATAACATTGAATGTAGAGCACCTGCCTCCTCATTGTGCTGCCTGTTGTTGTTGTTGTTGTTGTTGTTGTTGTTGTTGTTGTTGTTGTTGTTGTTGTTGTTGTTGTGACCTTTGCTTGACCATCTCTTTTGTTTTCCTTCTTCATTTCTCTCTCCTGCCAGTGTTACCTTCTTTTCAATTTTTCTCACCTGTCGGCCCATTTCATCCTTTTTTGGCATCTAACTTCCCTCCTTCCTTTTCCCTCCTATTTTCTTATTCAGTTTTCCATCTTTAACTTGTTGTTTTGTTTTCTGTCAGTCTCCTTACTTTCCACTGGTTTCTTCTTCTTTTATTTAGTGTTTCCTATATGTCCCTTTATTTACCCCTCCTGATCTTGGTTCTGTGAGAGGTTTCTTCCTGTTAAAAGGGAATATTTCCCTCCCTTTCTCACAAAGCGCTTGCTCATAGGAGATCATCTGATTGTTGGTTTTCTCTGTATTGTTGTAGGGTTTACCTTACACTATTCATATACAGTCACCTTTGAGGTGGTTTGGTACTATAGAAATAAAATTGAATTAAATTGAATTTCATTTATCTTTCCATTTCTACACATTTTCTCTACTCCTTTCTTGTCAAACTCTTTTCTGTCTTCTTGTTTTCTTACAGTGTTTATTTGACTCCTGGTTAACTCAGAAGGAGGACATGGTTGGGTCCATTAAGACAACCAACCTGAAGGACCAGACAGAGATGGTGGCCTGTTTGCACCATCTTACTGTGAGTATGCCTATACCGGAGCTGCTGTACCTTTTTGTAAAGAACAGAAAATGTTCCTACTTAAAAAACTCTGCACCAGTTACATGAGTGACATGCCAGGTAGGCTTAGATCTCTGCAACTTTTGTTGTGTGTATGTGTCTGTTCCGTAAGACTTTGAAAGCAGACCTTGATGTTAAGCGCCCCACCATGGACAAATTATGCTCAATGAGCCAGGATCTGCTGTCCAGTGTGAAGAACAGAGAGGTGGCCAGCAAACTAGAGGCCAGACTGGATAGCTTTGCCCAGCGCTGGGAGCAACTAGTCCAGATCCTAGAGATGAGTATCACCCAGGTACAGTGAGTGCTGAGTTGTCTTTTACTGTATGTAGAGTCATGTGAACATCATGGCAATTTTTTTTTTACATTGAGTCAGTATTTATTTAACAAAAACTATGCCAATATGCAAGAACAGAGTGTGAAAAACCGACTGCACTCAGGTATGTGTTAACACTATGCTGAGAAGGAATGACATCAGCCGTCTCAGCAAATTCTCCCCAAGGTCAGACAGTGCAATGGTCAGAGAAACTGCAACAAACTCAAAAGGCTTCAGTTAGCAAGTTAGATATTAAATGGTAAATGTCCTGTATTTGTATAGCGCTTTGCATAGTCCCTAAGGACCCCAAAGTGCTTTACACGTTCAGTCATCCACCCATTCACACACACATTCACACACTGGTGATGGCAGCTACATTGTAGCCACAGCGGCTGTGGCTGTGGCTACAATGTAGCTGTCTTGATTAAAGTTCAAGACAGTCCAATGAGAACAGGAGTGAACAAGTATAACATGTTTAATTGTTGCCATGAGACAGACTCTTCTCTCTAAAACAGAAACTCATCTGTTGCGAGGATCGCTGAATCTAGTTTACTTGCTGATGGTAGCTGTGTTTCCACGCAAAGCGAAGATTGTAAGCAGCAGTAAAAGCAGTGCCAGCGGCAGCTTGTATCACATGCTGGTTTCCCATCATTTTACTGTGAAAGACAGGCTTTATCTACAATGAAGCTGCAGTTTACTGTGAGTACAAAACAAGCAGCGCTTTCAGTAACAACAACCAACTGTGATCAAAAGATGGCAGTAATGTAAAGGATGCATGCAAACTGGCCAAGCTCTGTTGCCTGTTTGCATGCATGTCTGAAATGAAAAGATCGTTTCACTTTTGCTGCATTTTATGCACATTTAAACAGATTTCACTGTTTAAAATAAATTCATGTGGCCTCATAATCATAGAACTTTGGTTTTCTCATCTGCACGAGATTTGTTAAGATTAAGAAAATGCCAACTGAAAACTACTTAATACACAATGTTTGCTTGTATGTACACGTACTTTTAAATGCACACATTAATTAGTGCTCAAGCTGGTTTGCACAGATATCGATATTTCTCCCTCTCCTTCTTATTTTATTTATTTTTCCATTGAAAGAGATAACCAGCAGATTGACCTCTACATACACATACATACACTCTACATATGCTTCTTCTCACGTTGTCATTACAGTCTACTCTAAAGTCCTAGTCTAAATTGCTGCTTAACTGCCTCCACAGCTGTCTGAGTGTGCACTCACCTACATACACACACACTCAGTCTAGAGCTCTTGTTGGAACCCACACTTATACGGCAAAACACTGTACTCATGACCTTGTATGATAGATGATGTCCAACCATCAGTTATCACCTGTCAAGAATGAGGATTTGTCATCTGTATAATTCAGCTCCTGATGTTAAACCGTCTGCCTGAGTGTATTATGCTCTCCCTTTAACATTCAGCTCTCGGCAGCTGTCAGTGCAGCCCAGCATTCTGAGCTAACCCACTCAGTAACTGCGACTGTAACCAAAGTGACAACAAGAGAGAAGATGTCAGCTGTCCGCCAGACCCGAGAATCGCCACCTCCACAGAAGAAGAGACAAGTAGTTGTGGATTCTGAGCTCAGGAAAAGGTGTGTTTATGTTCCTACACTTGAAAACGTGAGCGTTGGAGCATTATTCATTTCAAGATGCCTTCTAACTTTTATTAAATGTTCAGATACATGCATCCCTTTTTACTCTCTTATCTCAGCAGGTAGGTGATGAAATATTGTGAATACTCATAGTATCTAGGTTTGGTGGTTATAATAGTAAGCAGCTTTAAACTGAACTTTTCCCAATAGTCAAGTAGAAGTTTCTGAAAATTCTCCTCGACCTTGTAGTAAGTAGAAAAGCAAGCTTAGACGTTTTGTAGTGGTAGTTTAACAGTGAACCTTTTTGGTCATTTTTGAGGCATTTTGTTAAATGTAAGTTAAAATAAAATTTAAGGGTTTTCTACAGCACTGAGTAATTCTCAGCTACAATGCTTGAGCACCGTCAGGTGAACATTACTTTGGATCCCAGGCAGGCGGGGCACGTAGCGTGCTGGTCCTTGTTGTACAAAGAGAAACCAAACCCCTGAGGACAGGGCAAAACAGAAGAGTTCTGCTTTGCTTGCTTTGGTTTGATATTCATATCAAAATGCAAAGCAAAAACACTGCACAAGAAGACTCGAATATAGTGCTCCGTGGGCAGCCGACGCACCAGCTGAGTAGTGGTGGCTAACACCAACTTTAAGCTAGCAAACAGAGCTAACTAGCAGTTGCTAGCTAGCCCGACCTGGCAGAGGTGTTCTTAGCAAGGTGAAGAAGTTATGAAGAACACAAACCCCCTTTGATCACAGGGGGTTTGTGTGCAGGTGCGACTATGTATATATCATGACTGGTCATCTCAAGACAAGACATGTAAAGTGTCCACACTTTAATTCTCAGCTTTTCAGACATTTGTGTGGCCTGCATGGTCATTGCAGTGGGATTGTAATTAGAGCTGGCAGCTGTCAGTCAGCCAGAAAAGTTACATGTTACAGTTCTGAATTGTTTTTCCACTCGGCACATCAATTCCAATGTGGCAGTTCTTATTTCCTTTCAGGACAATGAAATTTATGTTGCTGACAAAGGTTTTTCTCCACAGAAGACATCTGCAAACACCAACATTCCATAATTGAATGGTATTTCATAATTTCCACCGAATTTAAAATATTACAGGATAATAGTAAACTCCCTCTATGATATGTAATAACTAACTGTTTGAGTGTGAAGCTGAAATGAGGTCCTATATGATTACATGAAATACATTACTACAGTGCTGCTATGTGACATCTTGTATGCAATCTTGTAAATGTAGTGTTAATAGAACTTCACCACCACATTATCTTATGTGCTTCAACACAGTGTGATGCCTTATAATACAAAACACATTTGTGTTTGTCTGCATCTATTGCCAGGTTCGATGTGGATTTCACTGAAGTCCACAGCTATATGACTCGTGGTGAAGCCATTCTGCAGAGCCCTGAATTCTCTGTGACACGCAAAGACAGCAGTATTCAGGAGCTACATGACAAAGTCCAGGTAAAAATTGTGTGTCTGTGTCTTATGTGCATATGTGGATCTGTGTCATTTATATATGATCTGAATGTGCAATAGGATCTTGTTATTTCAGCATTTCAGTCATACCTGAGGGGACATTTTGAACTGGGCTTACAAGGCAATGATAATGTACCTCATATGAGATGCAGCAAAGTGTCAGTAATGAGTGTGATGACATTTTGCAGACATTTTGGACCCTTTACTTATATGTGTCAGCTGACAACATTTGTATTCTAAGTGCTTTGTATAAGGATGAAACAAAACAAGAGGAAACAGGGTAAAAAGCCTGTTTTTCTTTGATAGTTAAAAAATACCCAAACAAACATATATTTTGTAATTTTGGTTAGTATGTTAATCTGGTTCAAACTTTACATTTTACCAGTAGGCATTTGGATTTGAAAGCTACACAAAGTATCCAAGTTTGTTGTTTACATTGTTTTAATTTGATATTTTTGGCAACTAAGTGTAAAGAAAAACAGTTTATAAACACAACACTGACAACAGTTTAACCTTTGCAGGGCTACTTGCAAACACTTGATAAACATGATGTATTAAGTCCATAGTCACATTTTTGTTCTTTACTAATTCCTGAGCAATAAATCAGTGCACATTAATTATCCTTATTCTTTCATCTATCACTTAGAACTACACTACCAGTCAAAAGTTTTAGAACACCCTCATTTTTACAGTTTATTGTAATTCAAGTCATTCAAGTCCAATGAACAGCTTGAAATTGTGCAAAGGTAACTGGTGAACTGCCAGAAATTAAAAATAAAG